ACAACCTTCCTAAGTTTAGGAGTTCTGATAAATCTGGGTGTAGAATAAGAGGTTGACAAAGGTCAAAGAAACAAAAGTATACCTTCGTTCAAATGCTCTGCAGCCTTTTATTTTGTAAAGCTAGATACTAGATGCTGCAAGTCAAGATTGAAAGCAACTGGAAGCACCCTACATAAGAAGCAAACAAAAGTAATTAGGATAATAATCAATTATAGTTTTGGAGATCCATGTGAATTTTAAAAGTAGTTATCTTTGCTCCATCCTTTCAACCAAATTTTAAATTGGTGTAAAGTAATCTGCTCATACTCATATTTTAGCATCATTCTTCAGTTTTAACATATCATTTGAAAGCACAATATGAAAAAGAAAATAATTGCATGATGTAAACAATCTTGCTTAGAGAGTAGAAAATTGTTAAGCTCTTATAAGGAGGAATCTATATGTAACAAGAACTTGCTATTAAAAAGTCAAGATGAGAAGCAAATAAAACAATAGAACATTAAAGAGGTTATATGGCTACAAACTAATCCATCAATCAAGCAATTAATAGCTAAAAAATGTACCGTTGTATTTTCTGCTTCTTCATCAACATATTTGCCCTCTTTATTCAGGTGAGTAACTATATAAAAATCAACCTCTCACACAGGCTCACCACCATTTTTTTCTTCCTACATAAGAACAAAATAATTTCCTAAGTACTAGGCCTTTTTATGGTATTCAGAACATCAAAAACTTGAAATTGGATTTTACCATTTCATCTCATAGTATGGCAAAGCTCTTACTGCTGCTTGTATGTGTAATCTTCTGCATTGCCCAACTCTTCTTGCATTTTTCTTCCTTTTTCTATAAAATTTAGGATTATTAACACTTAAGTAATCAAATAAGCCATACAACTGAAAGGAAATTCCATACCTTGCCATCACCAGATTTCCAGCAATGGACTAAATACTGCCAATCATTGGCTAACACATTGTGTGGAACATTTCTCCTTAGAAATAATCCTTCATTTTCTCAGTAATCAAAAGACTAGTTATTGAAAGAATCAAAAGAGGCAAAATAATGCAAGCTAAGAAACACAAAAAACAAAGACGAAATTTCAGAAAAAAAAAAAAAAAGAATAGAAAGTTCGACTGTAGAATTAGAGACCATACCTGAAGGAAATCGAAAAATCTACTTTAGAATAGAAGATATGTGAAAACAATCCTCAATCGAACTATCTGCTATCACTGACACAGACCTGTAATAAACAAATCTGCATTTTATCAGAAACCCTAAACTTTTAATTGGAAATGACAACAAAAATTACCCCTATTGTAAAATTTAGATCTACTGTAAGCAACAGCTGTTGAAGGATTGGGGATGGGCGATGGGTGGTCAAGAAAATTGTAGTGGTGCTCGAGAAGATTGAGTGGCAGTCGAGATCGAGAGATAAAATGAGATGGTGAGACTGGAAGAATCCGGTAATAAACCGGCGAGAATTTTTAGAAGAGCTCCAAGCCCCAAGGGGCAGTTTCCCTCCATTTGGCGGGCGGCCGGGCGGGCGGGCATCCAATTTTTTTTTTTTCTAAATTAATTCCTTGCGTTTAGACGTAAATGCCAAAAAGAAAAAAAAAACCTGCTACTATTGGCGGTAGCAAATCTATACCTCTGTATGTATATAAAGCAAAAACCATTCAAGGAAAATAATGATAGGTGGGAAAAGTTTACTTTGAGCTCCTCACTTTATCAAATTTAAAGGTTTTAGGTACTCATCTTATATTATAATATTTTTAACCTCTCATTTTACTAGATTTATATGTTTTAGTTCTTTATTTTATATTATAATATTTTTAACCCCTCATATATTAAAATTAAAAAAAATAATCCTCACTTTGTAATATTTTGTTAATTATGTTAATTGATTGTTAATTCTATTAGCTAACTGTTAATTCTATTAATTGACTGTTAATTGATTATTAACTGATATTTTTTTTTTCAGTTAACAGACTTAACGAAATTAATTTTATAATATTTTGTTAATTTTGTTAACTGACTATTAGTTGATTGTTAGTTGAAAAAAACTTACTTTCAACTAATAGGGTTAACAGTCAGTATAAAATGAGTACTATTTTTTTTTATTTTAATAGATAAAGGATTAAAACTTATAAATCTAGTAAGATGAAGGGTTAAAAGTAAGGTGAAAACTAAAAGTAAGTTTTTGCCTCGTGCTTTTCTGCATTTATAATTTTTTGACACATGTACTATCTTTTCATTTTGGGAAAATTAAATACTTTTGTTTCTTTGATTTTTTTTTACGCTACTGCATTTTTGTGTCCCCTTCCCTTGCTCCACTGCCTCTTCCACCATCTATCTTCCTTTCCCTCTTTCTAATGGTGCTTTTGTAAAACCTTTCAAATTCTCCAAAACCTCTCTAATCTTGCTTGGCTCTTTTCCCATGGATCCCTCTTTGTCTTTCACCTTCTCTATGTTCAAACCAATTGGACCTCTTTTGTCCTTCATCTTACCTAGTTTCAATCCGATCAGACCCTCTTTGTCATTCCCTTTTCCCCCTTCTATTACTCTTTCTCTCTTCATCGTCTTTGCTCTATACTACAACTCCACAATTGAAGAGAGCTTAGATTAGCCCGCCACTCTATCATCTCTCTCTTCTTTTTCTTCATTAACTCATCATAGCTCTGTTCAGAAGGCACTAGAAGCAAATGCGACGTGGCTTGAATCCATTCAATTGATGGATGAAATCCACCAACGATCTATGCACTGCTGTTCACCCATCACGTTTCAGGTTTGAAAATTCAATTCATTCTTCGGGCTAATATTGATTGTAATTGTCTAGCTGTCTCTTTGAAATTATTTTCCATTGCAAATTTTGCTCTATTAATTTTATGCTTCTTTATTTTTTCTTGTTTTTAATTGGTAATGGCATTTATAAACTACAATTATATTATTGTAGGTGTTACGGTTGCATGATCTTATATGAGGTGACCTGCCAACTCATTACATGGTCAAGATACAATTATTTTCTCTAAGAAATGTCAACATAAGAATATGAATCTGTAGATGTTGAGGTTGAGGTTGGAGGCTACAAATGGTATAGTTCTTTTCTTTGTCTTCACTGCATGATAACATACTTTAGCCTTATGATTAAAAGTAAATGTGTTCATCTCATGTGGGAACTTCATACTCTTTCTATGAATATATATATACAATAAACTAATTCTTTACCCAAGTGGAATGTGAAGGACCACATTTTCTCTCTCTAGCAATTGCAAATGCAAGTACCCTCAACAATAGTTGGGTAGGGAAAATTTTCTGTAAGTAGTAGTTAAGTTAAATTTTAAAATTTCTGTTGCTTCCTTTTTGTGCTTCCTTTGCTGTAAATCAAGAACAAGAGTTGGTAGCCAACATAATAATTGACTTTTCTGATCTAAATGTACATTTGAAGAAAACAATTTTTAGGTTGGTTTTAGAATTACAAATGTTAATTATCAGCCTAAATTAATGTCAACTATTATTATTATTATTATTATTATTATTATTATTATTATCATTCAAGAATCTTTGTAATGATGGTATTTTATTTTATTTTTTACTTTCAACAGGCAGTTTGGCCTCACAATGGTGACTCTCAACCTACAAAAGCAATTTCAATTATTCTGATTCATTTCTTAGGGAAAAAAAAATGTGGATCTTTCCATGTTAAGGTTAAAGAATGAAATAAAATGTTTTGTTAGCTCTTTGTATCATTGTCAAAGAAATTTAAAAGTGAAATTAATGAAGTTGAACCTTGAGCTAGTAATTATTGGATCCATTTTGCTTTTCTTTATTTTCTTCTTCTAAATTTGTGGCTTATTCTGAACAAACTTGATGAATTTCTTGGAAGTGAAGCTCATTCTTCTAATTACTTCATCTTTAGGGGATATGATGACCTTCTTTGAATTATTTAGTCATGTTTTCCTTATTCTCCTATTAAGAAATTATGGGATTTTCATTGCTATATATCTTGTGTGATGAGTTCTAGCATATATATACCTCTTGAAATTGCATGTCTTTTATAGTTTTTGATTAACTAGTTCTTCAAAATACAATCTGAGCTTATGAATGGAAAAAAACTTCTATTTCCAGCAAACCGTATCTCCAAGAGGCTAGAAAACCTCTAATCTATTTGTTATTAGTAATTTCTATCGATTAATTAACAAACATATTTGTGCGTCTTGGTTTTTGTTCTCCTTTTGATATGGTATCTCTTTGGTTCTCTTTTTCTTAGAGGATTTTTGAGAGCTCCAAGGCAGAGGAAGTAAGATGAGAGGTGGGATCCTTTCAATGTTTTTTACTTTTTATATGCTTTTCCTTCTTTGGTATTTTTTGTTTGTTTTTTTTTCTTTCTATTGTTTTTGGAATAATGTCTTTAATGAGAGATGGGATTGATTTTTTACTTTTGTATGGTTGTAATTTTGGTTGTGAATGGAAACTTGGAATAAAGTCTTGATTGTTCTACTTGTTTTAGTTAATTCTATTTTTCTTATAGTCTATTTATATCCATTGTTAGAAACTTAATTTTTGTTCATGTTAAAGTTGTACTTGCAAGTTTTGTTCTATGAAACTTGAATGTTTTTATAATCATCCTTTATCTTCTATCAAACATAATAGAGTTTGGTTATATTTTTTTTGTACAGGTTGAAACATGAGTACTTCTACTTAGCCTTGATCTAATGTGAGACAAAGATTGAAGAAATTCTCCATTTTGAAGTTAATTTCACAAGTTGATCTTTCTATGTACAGTGTTCTTATGTTGCTACTTATTAGTTTGGTTCTCTCTCTTTATCAAAAATTGTAAAACATAAGTTGTGTCTCCTAGGGTCAAGGATTGTTATTATTATTATTATTATTATTATTATTATTATTATTATTATTATTAACTGCATTAGTAGTAATGTGTTTAATTATTTTGTAACAATACAACAATAGATTTCCAGTGATTAAGAATCTTCATCATCGGGTTAAGGTCTTTGTTTTAACTATTGTTTGGCTTACCCATATCTTTAACTGTGGTGATTCTTTTTCTGTAGTGATTCATGAACTCAATGTTGTACCTATGATTTTGATGATTACAAAACACATTTGAGTGACTAATTGGTTTATTTAAGTGTGTAGTTAAGTTGCTAAAAGATTGCAAGTAAACTTGGATTGCATTAAAAATAGACCAAAAAGGATTCAAAATGTGCAGAGAGCCGGCTCTAAAAAGTTGCAGCCGACTTTGGTGAAATGGAAGTGTAGAGAGCCGGCTCTGGAAGCTGCAGCCGGCTCTACGGGCAAAAATTTGAAGACCGTTGTTTGGCGCGCGCGGAGAAAAGACGCAAAGCCGGCTCCAACTTTGCAGCCGACTATGAGGGTGCATTTAATGCACAACGGTCGAGTCATTTGAAGATTATTTAATGTATTTAAAGTCGGAGTTCCAAAGCGGGCTCAAAGTTTTGCAGCCGACTCTCGAGAAAAACAGAATGGGCTGTAAACTCGGATAACTGGCTCTGGAAGTGTAAACCGACTCTGGAAGTGTAAACCAGCTCTACAGAGCAGGCTCTAGAAAGTTAAGTCGGCTTTCATGACAATCTTGCAACTTGAGCTTTACGTCCTGCAGAGCATTTAATGACCCCCAACGGCTAGAAACGGCTATTTTCGAGCAAGGGGCTATAAATATGGTTGGTAACAGATATGAAGAGGTTTAGAGAGCATTGTATTGCATATCTTTACCTACCAACTTGTGCTTAAACTAGAGATTTTGATCTTTGAGAGATCTTTGTTTGTAATCCTCTTTTTGTGCTATTAGTGAGTGATCTTGGGGGTGTGTTGATTCGTTCAAGAGTGATCTGTAGAGAGGATCTTTGGGGTTTAAGTGTAAATGGGTGAGATTTGAGAGAAACACCCTTATTCTTGTAAAGAATTGAGTGGCTCCTTTAAGCCACCATTGTTTTTGTTAGTGGAGAGTGTGGAGGAAATCCTTGGTGAGTGAAGTCAAGGTAGAGGACTAGGCTCCAAGTGGTTGGACCGAATCTCAATAAAATCATTGTGCAAGCTTTTCTTCTCTACTCTCTTTATTTTTGGTTTTGTGGTTGCAAAAAGGGGAAAATTTTTGGAACTCCAATTCACCCCCCCTCTTGGAGTGCATTGAGTCAACACTCAATATTAGTAAAAAAGAGAATTGGGTGCTTTTGAAGAGTTAGCTATTAGATATTCCCATTGCTATATTTTCTACTGACTCTTTTATGGGAG